AACCAACACTTGCGGTCAGGGCTAACCATTAAACCGCTATGCCCTTGTAGAGTTCACTTAGACCCCAGCATCTACTTTACAGTATAATCCCAGTACTTTAGTATACCCCTGCCTTTTGTCCAGCCTTTTTATCAGACTCCCAATCCAGATAGCCCGTGTAGAACTACAACCAGTTCATCGGTATATCAGGTCGGCCCAATATCCTTTTCCTCTGGTTTGTTCCGATGGCCTGGTTGGTGGTACCTCTGAGCCACCTAACCCAGAGGTTCTTGCCTATCTGGCTACTATAATCAGGTACTATGACCTTGGTATCCGTTTCTCTGGGCTAGCCTTTACAGTAGGGCCATCAAAGATCCAGCTACCTCTCTACTCGGGTCTTCCTAAATAGACTTCTTGTTACACAATTTCAACGGATTTACACGTCCACAAGGACTTATCTAGTGTTTGCACTGCCTATTTACGGTTTGCATTCTTTTGTGTAACCACAACCTTGTCCCAAAAGTCAATGTCATGTGACCTGTTACACGAATGCCCCATGACCTGCCAGTCATGCTGGTGTGACTGCCATTACAGGTATCCTAACCCAATCATTAGTAATAGTTGCCATAATACGAATATTATATAGGTGATTATCCAAATTTTCACTGTCGATAGGATTTGAACACCCAACCTACCACTTGGAGGATTGACAACCTGACCACTTCACTAGGTCACCAACTATCAATTTATTCAAAGATTTTATTTCATTATTATCAAGATAAGTGTATGTTTTCATTGCATTATACACATTGTATAAATACCTTTCTTAGTTACTAATCTATTACATAGTTTTTGAATATTTTGTAGAGATTCATTCAGTTACACCTTCTTTAAAGACTGAACTTGCTCTTGAAGTTCAACTGCATGAAATCTTAGAAGTTGTTGAATGCTAAAAGTGTCAAGTTATGTTGCCAAATAAACTGTCTAATGTTTTCTGATAGAGAAAGAGTATATAAATCTAATAGCTAACCAGGATAATGATTTATGTGCTTATAATAATGGCATAAAATTACTGTTACTGAGCCAACAGGAAGCACAACATGGATGTAACTTTTACAGTCACATTTTTTTGATTTTTTTTGTACAAGCCATGGTTTTTTCATAGCATCCTTTCTAGCAACACTCTCATATGTTCCATACCGATGGCAATACCATTTTTCTGACCATTGGGGAGTTTTTTTTGTACCACCTTCATGCACCCGGTGATCATGTCTATAATAACTAAATTCTGCTTTCTCAAGATTTTTGATCCATTCTATGTATTCACTAACTGGAAGGTGATACATTTTAGATTTTTTAGTTTTTGATTCATCATTTGTTGTATTATCATCATCCATTGTCTCCCACGTCTGATCAACACTGTCTGTTGCATCTAGAATGCTATCAAGCACATTGTCGAGCTCATGATCACTACCATTACTAATAATTATATTTTTTTCTTCAATATTAAAAATTGCATTAATATCTAGTAGCAATAACATGTTAGAAAAACATTTATTATGCAAGTTTTAAAATGGCAAAATTTGAAGCTTCACGAATGTTAGGTTAGCTTTCTGAAAAAGAGGATAAGAAAAAACTGGTCAAGGTTTATGCAATATGATTAGAAGCATATAATATTTAGCAAAACTTTCACAATGGCAATTTTGCATTGATGAATCACTTAGAGGCGAATAATTTATAAAAGCAATTTAAATAAAAGAAAATATTAGTTTTATTTTGTTTATTTATCACTTAGAAATTTTGATATTAATGAATGATTTATTATAACTTTATTGTATAAGAATAGACAAAAGCAAAGACATTTTACAACGTGGATGAAAAACCCACTCTTAAATATACTATTATGATGTCGCCTATTATATTTAATTACTCAAATAAAGTTATTATGGTCTATCTTGTATAGAAGTGAAATATTATTTTTTAGCTCTTTTTTCCAATTATGATAACTTTGTCATATTCTTGTTATTTGCCTAATCTACAAAATTTACGAAATTCGTGAAATTCGCAACAAATCACAGGTAATTATGCAGTACAATTGGTAAGGCTTATTCCAAAGCTATTTTTAATTCGAATATAAATGCAGTGACAATTGGCTTTAATTAATTTCTAATACGCATATGCAGTACAAAAATAAATTTCTAAACATAATGATAATGATAAATACACATACAATGCATCTAGTAAAACAAATAAAGCTAGCTTAGAGCTATATTTAACGCATCTCTTTACTATGAATGCACTAAGTGCGGTGAGATAACAATACCTAGAATTCAGAATAAAAAATAAAATAACTTATAAATAAGGGTTGGAACTGTTTAAAATTTTTTCATGGCATCGGGCTGCATATTGATCATGGACCAAGATTACCTTAATAACGGCCGGGTTAAACGGTTGAAGAAATTTTAGGTGGTTCCAATCCTTATTTTTAAATGCCTGTTTACTTTTATTTAATAAAGAGATTAATTTTATTCACAAATCAAAACTATTATTAATTGTTTGATGCTTGAATGCACAACATACATGTGTGCAAAAATTTAACAAAAGATTTATGCGCGGTCTATTTCAACTTAAAAATGAATTGGTATAAATGATTATACATTCGCATTTCACGATCCCGGGTGTAGTAACACCGGGGAAAAAAAATTTGTGTGTGTATGTGTAAAAATTAAGTAGAAAGCCACATGAAATAAATTTTAATACATATTTTTTTTCTAAGTTATTTGTGTAAAAATATTTTTACTTGTACAATTTAACCCCGGTGCATATATTATTGGTCGATATGATCACGTTGTTAGGGATCGTCAATTTCGTCCAATCAGAAATATGATAGATCTGCGACCAATGAGAAACTTGGGGGAGAAATTAGTAAACGCGAAATTACATGTATTGTAAATTTGTAAAAGTAATTTCCAACGCTAGGTCGTTAACCAATAAATCAAAAATCATGTGATTTGATTGAAAATAAATTCAGTAAATTACTGTACATTTCGTACTGGTACATTTAAACGGCAGAAAATAAAATAAGAATGTCTTCACTTGAAAGTGTGTTGGAGTTAGCAGAAAGAATAGGATACATTAGCGTAATATATCTTCTTTATTTGGAGAAGTCAGTAGAAAAGGGATAAATTTTTTCTATATAAAAGCTTTTTTAAAAAAACATTTTTATTTTCTCTTCTATTGACTTACCTCATTTATATATATATTAAAATTAATATTAACGCGTCTCTCGTGAACATTCGTCGTAGGAACCAGATCAATTTTCAACAAAAGCGACATCATCTATTCATTTAGTCGATTTGTTAGACGAATTACTTTCTCTTCGCCTTCGAAGCGAAAAGGTTTTATTCAATCAAATTAAAATGATATATTTCAAAACACAAAAATTCTAAAGATCAACGGATACAAATTCTGTAGATCAAAGAAATACTAACAAAACTCAAGGATTCCGAACAAAGTTTTGATTTGGTTAAAGAATCTGAACTCGGTTAGAATCACTGATTTCTTGAATTTCATTTAAAACCTGCTGTTGACTTAATGATTTAATGTAATTTAGAAACAAAGATTTCACTGCTATCTGGTTTTAGTAAACACGTGGAATCTATCATGACAAATAAACAAGTTCTTTTAATGAGACTTAAGGACCCTTTTGTTGGTGAACATATCGACCTTGAGCCAGAATACCACAAGTATAATTCTTTCTTTGTCGCATGGAATGCAAACGTATTATGAACCGACCCAATTTCCTAGCGTATCTTTATCACAGGGATTTCTCGGAATTATTCCCGGCAATTGCACAAAGTATTGCTTTGTTACCACATGATTTGAAAAGCTTGGAATGGTTCGGAAGTCACACAATTGCCGACAAGATTATAGTATGTTCATGACCTATCTGCATAATATTAATAAAAATTGGAATAAGTGAAAGTGACATAATTTGCCTATTTACAGGATTCACAAATAGAAGAAATATCGTCCTTAATTGCGATGTATGGTAATTATTCAGACAGTCTTGATCGTGTGAGAAAAGTTTTAAAAGACATACAAGTAGAGATGATAACCGATTAGGGAATGATCGTTCATTTGATTTGTTTGATTGTAACCGATTATACGTAAAATTTTTTTTTTTGGATATATTCGATTATTAAACTATTGCCTGATCACTCGTATTATATTCTCTACAATACGCACATTTTTCACAATTCGAATCTCTTTATAATCGTCAATTGTATTTTTAATTATTTTATGTTATTCATGCGGCTCATAAATTTAAATGCAAATGGGTCAGTCTGTACCGTTATCGGGCTTCGGGGACAATTCCTTACCTTTAGCGTTCATTAATATTAGTAAAATTATCATAATGAATTATATTGTTAACCAGAATATAACTTGAATACTAATAAAATTATTATTATAAACCATATTATTGACTAAGTGTGTATTAAAATATGTTAATAAAATTATATCAAAACTCTTTTCAACAATCCCTTACACCAACTTTTTTCAAAAAATCTGACCTATGAAAATTATATAGTTATTATATTTAAATATAACAAAATTCTACTTTTGGTAACTAGGGAGGTTATTCACTGCATGCTTGGTTGTAACTGAAAAGAATTGAAAAAGATTCGAACTCTTGTAAGCAAAGTTTCTTGGTAAAACACACGTACTACCAAGCAAAGAAGTAGTAGATAAATTCTGGAGTTTTGTCAAGTGCTATAAGGGTTTAGACCTAAATAGTTACTTGGTTTAACATAATATTCTATATAATGTAACTCTTATAACTCTTTCTTAAGTTGGTTTTCTTTTCCACCCTCACTACTGAATTTTTCTCTTGAAATTTTTACCAAAAAGTAGGAAATCTGACATACCCTCTCCAAAGGATCGACACTGTTTACCTTTCCAAATTGGTAATGTTAGTCATAAGAAAATTATAATACAAGTATCGGACCTACAATATATAACATGTGTTAAACTCAAGAGGAAAATAAAAACTTCAATCATTCTCTCCACGTAACAAATGGAATATATTATAATATGAAGATAAAGTAAATGTGAGGTATTCTTTATTTAGTATTATATAGAATTTTTAAAACCAAGCATGAACAAAAACAGTGGCTTTATGTTTTTTTTTTTATTTTTTCTTTATTATTTTTTTTGTTATCTTTTTTTTTTTTTCTTTTAGTTTATGTTTAGGTTTTATAGTTAGTCCTCTCTTTTTTTTTTACTTCTTTTTAGTTTTTTTTTCATATATCCTGTTGTTCTTTAGTTAAGGATTATAGAATCCTCTTGCTTAATAATTAAAAAAGAGAAAAAAACGAATCGAAGATGAAGCTAGGAAGACAATATTAAAGCTTGTAATGAAAAAAAGAAGACCCTTTTATTATAGACTTTAAGTAGTCTGATGAGCAGTTTACTTCTGCTTGAAGTAATGCAGCAGGTCTGCACTTAGATGCCATTAGAATGACCAGGTAATGCTAGACTTAGTTGTTAAACATCGATGTAATTGTAGTAATTACTAAAATATTAATAAAATACTAGTGTGACTGCCTAAGGAAAAAAAAAAAAATTATATATAATTTCTTATTCTTTTTTTTTAATTCATTTCAAAAATCTGTAATGAAAGTTATTAATAACATAGAACAAGAAGATATATACAACATTGTGCCTTTATTTATTGAATTAGAAATGGATGAATATGATGAAACTAATGATATTATCCATTAAAATATTCAGGAATTGTGGAAATTTTGGCAGAAAACAGAGTACACATATCGAAACAAAGAAAACAAAACTTGCTATGAAAAGATCAGATTCTGTAAATTTTTTAAAAAACAAGAAATGTGTTATAATATGTTGTATGATAGTTTAGATAACTGAATTAAAAGACAATTTACATCATTTGCATTCAGTAAATTACCAAAAAACAAAAAAAAATCTAGTCAAGAATCACATGATTGTATTACTTATCAATATCATTATGATGCTCAATATATAGTATGTTTACCTACTTATATAATATTAACTAAAGTTTCTTTAAGTCATCTTGACTGAATTAAAACATATATTAAAAATAACAGTACAGAAGAAATGATTCATAATAATATAGAATATAGTTTTTATTCAATCTAATCATGTAACTATTAATGAAGAAATATTACTAGAACTTAATAATTTTATTTACAATTATGCAAATATTCATGAATTTCTATCATCAGATAAAATATATAACAAAATGCTGTTATTTATTTTTTTTTTTTAAATATTAGCAGTGAGGCTATGACTTTAACTTTATTAAAATTCAATTAAAGTTTTTATAAAGAAAAGCTTGCTTTTAAATTACATATGAAGAATAAAGACTCAGACTTATAATTTGCAATCTAAACTATAAGAGTAGTTAAGACTTATCTAGATTTGGGTTTGAGTAATAATATAAGAGAGACTATATTAGTTATTTTACTTCTAGCTAGTACAATATATTATAATGTTTATAAAGAATATATAAATTTTATCCAATCAATAAAAGATACTAATTATAAAATTATAAGTTATAAGATATTTCTTCAAGTTTAAAAAGAAATAGTATCAGAAGTATAGTTAATATCAAAGATATCAGACTTGTATGACAAATATAAACAGCTTCATACTAAAATTTAAACTACTAGTAATATTGAAACTAAACAAAAACTTCATACTAAATTTGAGTTTCATCATATAGCTGTAATGATTGAACATCAATATTATAATGAAAATATTATAATTACTAGACAATTAAAATCTGAATTTATATATGTTTGTTATAATTGAACTTAAAATGTTCAAATTCCTTATTTAATATAATAATCTGATAGATTATTTTTTAAATTATTATTTAATATTCATATTTTTGAAATTGCTAATACTGAATTTGAACCTGCTATACAATGAAATTATATGATTAGTAAACATCAATTTTTAATCAAAACACCTAAAGGTGTTAACACCATTCTTAATTTTGTATATAACAGTTTATGTTATTGGAATCTAATACAAAAAAATCTAAAAGTAACATATAATAACTGCAGAGATCAAAATAAAAATAATCTTATACTTTGGTTTTATTCATGACTTATTTTTATTAAACAATTTGATACAATCGAATTAAATTTTATGATTTCTGAATACACAAAGTTTATTTGTGATTTGCATTTTAAAATAATCAAATCTGTTTATCATAAATTTAATATCATAAGTATAGACCATATTAAAACTATTATTAATCAATAAAAAAAAAACAGAAGTAATATAACAGTTAGGTATAATAAAAAGATCAGATAGAATGAAATTATTATAATTATAAAAGTTTTTTTAAAATCTTATTTTGTAAAAATTGATAATATATATATATATTAGCATTTTTATTTTTATTATGATCATCCTGAAAAAGTTTTTATATCATTAGAAGCTAGTAGTTTAAAAAAAGAATCTATTATCTATAATAATATTTATTTTAATTCTTATTAACTTTTAGATATAATTCTTTTAAAACTTTTATTTACAAAATGTTAGACACAACTATTTAAAGATATATGTTCATACATTCATAATTCTTACAAAGATGAATTATGTTTTACTCCAAGTGAGCAATAGTATATACTGTATATTATAAATATTCTGTAATTTACATAGATTATTAATTAACTTACATTATAAATTTGAAAACAATATATTATTATTTTTTTTTTTAAATATTAAGATGAGTACTTGCGACCCAGGATTTTATTGATAGTACATTCAGCTAATGGTTGCATT